AAGAATGGGTCTGGCATTACAGCATCTCAATCACTACCACGATGAAGGACACAATATGCTAGCCTGAACTGTCACAGGTGATGAGTCTTGGGTTCACCATTACCAGCCCGAGACAAAGCGTACATCAATGCAGTGGAAACATCCTGTGTCGCCTGCCAAAAAAAGTTTAAGGTGACACCATCCTCCAGGAAAGTGAAGCTCACAGTCTTCTGGGATCATGAAGGCATACTGCTCACTGCATTCCAGCCTCAAGGACAAACCATAAATGCCGACTCCTACTGTAACATCCTCAGGAAACTTTGTAAGGCCATTTAATGGAAGCATGCAACCTGTCATGCATTATGAGGTAGGCCATGCTGTGTGAACACGCCTGGTTCTGACAGCAGCCCAAAGAATTTTATGCTGCTGGTTTTCAGGGGCTTGTGAAACTATGGGACAAGTGCCTCAATGTACAGGGAGATTATGTTGAGAAATAAAAGCATTTTTCAAATCAGTACTCTTAAAGTTCTGTATCCATTTGCAACTTACTTATTGACTTACCCTCATATATTCATTCAAAATGATCTAAATTTTACTACTAGATATACAAAAATATTTTAAGGAACAAGACATGGAAATTGCAGCCATTAATTAAAACTTAATGAGAAAAAGGTAATTATTTTCTGTATATACAGAGCCCCAGCTGGCGATTATGACTATTTTTTAAACAAACTGAACTATATACTTTATTTTATTCATAGGTATAACTCAGAATTTATCTTATGTGGGGCATAAATATTAATTATCTAGAAAATAATAGTAGGAAATCAAAGTTAGATGACATGTTATTCTTATAACCTAAGCAATACTGTATATTTCCCTACAAGAATTGCCAATAATTCAGCCACTTTGATAGATAATATATTTATTGATAGCAGAACAAGTTATACCATTAAACTGTGTATCAATGGACTGTCTGATCATGATGCGCAGCTCATAACATTTAAGAATATTACTGAACCTAATAATATAATTGGATCTATCCTTGCTAGAAACATTAATAAAAATAGTATAGCTGAAATTCAAATGTTATTAAGTTGGGAACAGTGGGACAATATTTTTGGAAATAATAATGTTAATAATATGTTTAACTTTCATAATACTTATTTAAGATGTTCTTACAGCTGTTTCCCAAAAAAGGAAATCAAATGTAATATTATTAAGAATTAATGGGTTACAAAAGGGATAATGCCTCATGCAAAAGAAAGAGAGCACTCTTGTTATTATGCAGACATAGTGATGATTTAAATCTTAAAATGTATTATAAACAATACTGTAAAATATTATCAAAAGTAATTATATCTGCAAAAAAATCATATTACAACAGAATTATTCTTAATTCTAATAATAAAATGAAAAGTACCTGGAAAATAATAAATGAGGATAAAGGGATAAAGGTATTCATTCCATAATGGCAGATAATAAAGTAATAATGAATCAGAACAAAACCTAAAATGCTTTTAATAAACACTTTCTATCTATAGCTGATTCTATTACATGAGATAATAATAAATATATAAGCTCTAATTCATCCAATTAATTACTCAGTAAATACGTTTAGTAGACCTTTTACTAAAATGAATTGGCAGTATGCCTCCAGTTATGAAATTGAAAAAATTATTAAATCACTGAACACTAAAAACTCATGGATATGATGAAATTTCAAACAGAATAATAAAGTTCACCATTTATAAATTCTTCAGTTACTCATATTTGTAATGCAGTACTTAATACTGGTATTTTTCCTGATAGATTAAAATTTGCTATAGTTAAACCACTACTTAAAAAAGGGAACACTCATATATATCCAACTATAGACCTATATCATTGTTGACTTCTTTTTCTAATATCATTGAAAAACTCGTATATGCGAGATTTATTACTCATATTGAAGCAAATAGTCTGTTTGTAGATGAACAATATGGTTTTAGGACACACTCCTCGACTGAGAAGGCAACTTTTACATTGATAAATAATATTTTAACTGCGATGAATAATAAGTTAATGGTGGGAGGCGTTTGATTTTGTTAACCATAAAATATTATTGGATAAATTGGAATTCTATGGAATTGACGGAAAATTCAAAACACTTATTGCCTCTAAAAACTTTGAAAACAATTTACTACTCTTATTTTGGCTCTGTTACGAACTATGGTCTATGCTTTTGGGGAGTCTCGCCTCATAGTATAAAAGTATTTAGAATACAGAAGAAGATAATTAGAATTATGATCGGCTGTAATAGTAGAGTTTCATGTAGAGATCTCTTTCGGAAATTGGAAATTTTGCCTTTGGCTTCACAGTATATTTTTTCACTCATGCTCTTTGTGGTTAATAATAAAAGTCTCTTTATTCCAAATTCACTAAATCATAATATAAATACAAGACATATTACAAATTTCTATCAACCCATAGCAAATTTTACGGTATATCAAAAGGGAGTGTATTATATGGGCATAAAAATTTATAATAATCTTCCTTCTTATATAAAAGAAGAGTCACTCAACCCTAAGAAGTTCAAAATTTGTTTAAAGCGTTTTCTTTATCTTCATCATTTTTATTCTGTGGAAGAATATTTCCAATATAAATCATTATAAGTTAATGATTATGCATTCACTAGAATCACCTGTTGATCGTCCTGTTTTTTATTAGTATTATTCTAGTCATTTAAGCAATTTCTGTGATATGTTCAAACTGACATTGTCTAAATTTAAACTGCATGTTTCATCAAAATTAACTTATATGACTGGAATCTATTTGATTCTACATGTTTTGTTTCTGATTTGTTTCTGTTTTTGTATTTGTATTTTATACTTTTTTTTATTTATATACTTAGTTCTTGCTCTATTAATTTTAAGAATAATCACTGTACGGACATGTCCTATATCTCACTTGTATTGTGGATCCATGGAACGAAAAATGAATGAATGAATGAATGAATGAATGAATGGATCTTATTTGACAGGTAGACAGACATCAGAGAGTTGTATTGGGTAATAGAGTTGACAGTAACAACCCATCCAAATGCGGAACAATTAAATGCAGTGTTCCACAGGGCTCGATTCTTTGTCCCTTGTTTTTTCTGCTTTATACTAATGATTTACCTAAAATATTAAATAAAAATAATAATATGGTATTATGTGCAGATGACACCAGTATTATAGTAACTGACACTAATAATTTAAACTTTGAAATAAATCTTAATCAAACTTTCAGAGATATAAATACATGGTTTAATGCTAATTTCCTTACCTTGAATTTTAATAAGACTCAATATGTCAAGTTTCGACCTAAGAATTATTATATCACTACTAAAATTAACTACAATCAGATAAATTTAACAAATGTGACTGAGACAAAATTTCTGGGATTTATTATTGATGACATTCTTTCATTGAAACAGCATAGTGATTATGTTATTAATAAAATTTCCATTGCATGTTATGCATTGAGAAATATATAATATATTGTCCCTTTAGATACATTAATTTGCTAATTTACATTCTATCATTAGTTATGGTATAATTTTTTGGGGTGGCTCTTCTTGTGTTAACAATGTCTGGGACACTACAAAACTATTAACTGGGAAGTTAACCAAAGTAGCACAATTCCAGAATTAAAAGTCAATGGAGAGGTCATCGGTAATAGACAAGATATAGCAGATTCCCTGAATAGTTTATTCTTATCTGTGGTTGAAAAAATTAATAATAAACCATTAGATTACTTGCAACAAGCTTTTAATCATCCTTTCCCTAGTATAAAATACCATGCCGTAACGTCTACTGAGATATCTAAAATTACTAAATCTCTAATAATAAAAGGATCTCACGGCTATGATGAAATATCAGTTAAAGTTCTAAAAATTAGTTCTCCATTTATTATTTCTCCACTAACTTATATTAGCAATAAAATGCTATCTTCTGGTATATTTCCCAATAGACTAAAATATGCTGAGATTAAACCTCTGTTTAAGGGTGGTCATAAAAAATATACTACTAATTATAAACCAATTTCCCTTTTAACTTCCTTTTCAAAATCTTCAAGAGGATTATATTATCCAGAATGAATCAGCATGTCTATGACCATAATATGATAGTTAATGAACAATTTGGTTTTAGACGTCAATCTTCAACTACTAAAGCTTCCTATGTATTAATTAATGAAATATTAGAAGCATTAAATAAGCAAAAAATCATATGTGGTATTTTCTGTGACTTAAAAAAGGCTTTTGATAGTGTTAATCATGGGATTTTATTGAACAAACTTCAATTTTATGGAATAGATGGTAAATTTTATGATTTAATTACATCCCAATTATCTGAGAGATATCAGAGAGTTCTAATAACAAGCACTGACTTGAGTTACATTGGTACCTCCAGTTGGGATAATGTAAGGCATGGTGTCCCGCAGGGGTCCATTCTTGGTCCACTTCTTTTTCTCTTTTATATAAATGATTACCTAAAATTTTTAATAACTCAGTAAAATCAGTTTTATTTCTGGATGATACAAGTTTAGTTATTAACAGTTACAATAATATACAATACAGAAATGATGTAGATATTTCCTTTGCTTATCTCAATGATTGGTTTAATTTAAACTTATTAACTCTAAATTTTAAGAAAACTAAACATGTTCAATTTATGAAAAATTATGTTAATTATCATAATAATGTGATTTTAAGCAGTACAAATGTGAAGTTTTTGGGATTAGCTATTGAAAGCTCATGTACCTGGAAAGCTCATATATCCCAACTCATGCCTAAAATGTGCAGGGATTGTCACTCAATGAGGGTTATCAAGCCCATTATGCCTACAGACATTAAAAATGGTTTTTGCCCTATGGAATTAATTTGGGGGGCAATTCTTCTCATATGCACATTTTCAGAATTCAAAAGACAATAATTAGAACCATGAGTGGGTTGAGATCTGGGGACTCTTGTAAAGATGCGTTTAGGGATTGCGGAATTTTGCCATTGCAATCCCAATATATATTTTCTTTACTGATGTTTGTTGCAAATATGGGTTTATATCACACAACATCACAAATTCATGGCCTTAATACTAGGCGTAAATTTGATCTTCATCGCCCTCAGACAAATTTGACAACTTACCAGAGAGGACCTTATTATTTTGGTATTAAACTACCTTTAAATATAAGAGTTAATCCATAATATTAAGTAATTTAGAGCAGCTTTAAGTGCCTTTTTACATACTAATTCCTATTACACTTTAGATGAATATTTTAATTAGGGATAGTTTCTTGTTTAGCTATGGCCCATTATTTGATCTATTATCATGTATATGTTATAATTTTCTATTATCTTATATACACATGGTAAGTTATGTAGTTGCTGTGATGTGTAGGGGTTCCATAAGCTCGATTTATTGTTGTGGATTTACATGCATTGTTCTGTATCCAATGGCTTAGGTATTGTATGGATGTGCTGGAACGTGTAATATATAAAAACACAATACATTAACATGATGCGCTCCCTATAACGGAATGTTTATATGATTTTAGAAAAAAAAAATCTCTTTGAATGCTTAACCTCGAAACTAGAAGTTGACGAATATCCACCTCTACGCCCCCGCCGCTTTACCGACGGGGAATGGAGCCCCTTCGATTAAAGGTTGGGCGGGCTACAGAAACTGGCTTAACGTGGCAGACACGAGAAATATTTCTACACCGGCTGGGAACCTAACCCCGATTTTCCGTAATATGGTCACTATACTACGCTATCCTTCCTTCGTTGTTCGACATATTATTAGTCTGTTACTATTACTGTTAAAGTTTTCTCTTTATTAACAGATGTTTTACCTACTCGCTACATTATTCACTTCCTCTTCCGCACAATAATACCGATATGACGCTCCTTGCAGAAAAGGTAAAATCGGTTAGAATCTTGCCGTTATTGTCAAACACCGGACTTGGAATTTTTAGTCTACAGCCTTTTTCCATCAAATATGTTCCTACGTTTAACATGTAAAAAAAGTATTACATTATTACCACACTTTTCTCTTCCCCAAACGAAACAGTCAGCACGCGTAATTTGCACACCATTCACACGAGCACTGACTTGAATGTAAAGAACGATGATCCCTATGTTACCGGCCTTACCGGCTATCCACGTCGTCCACGTCGGTACACGAAGTCGTCACACTACAGCCGTTTGAACGGTTTGAACCGTGAAGTAACATTCGTATTAAACTGCCATCTATCGTCCTTGTTCAGCATATTGCTTTGAAATAGTTGCAGCTACTGACGACACCTCAATCGGTAAAAAGGTTAACTACTACCGACTTCCCCCCCCTGCGCGACCGAAACCTGTGTTTACAAAATAGCAATGAATCATTTTTCCACCCTAGTCTATTGTATTGGTCAGGTTATTACTCATTGTTTTTAGAAAAGAAATTATCTAATATCACTTCACCCACATTGTCACATCCCCCCAAATGTGTCTCCACCTTGTGGTGGTGGGGCTTGTGTGACTCTGTGACCTGAAGTGCTATGCCGGCATAGTTTAATTACCGGTAGAGTCACCCATACCGGAAAGGTCAAAGGGTAGAGTCCAGATCGTCCAGATCCTCCTGGTTGGGGGTTGGGCATGAGGCTAACAACCTCATCCTGTAAAATGATTTTGTTCAGAAACCTAACGACCTGCCTTCGATAACTGAAATGTATGGGAAATGGACTTAGCAAAGGACAAGGAACAATGATATTGTGATGGCAAGTTGGAATGTATGTACAATGCTGCAACCCAGAAAGATGCAGGAAGTAGCCTAAGAAATGATATGCTACCAAATTGACATTATGGCATTGCAAGAAATAAGATGACGTCAAAAGAATGGAAGATAATGCAATGCAAAATAGAATGTTAAAAGGAAGGCTGTATTCCAAAAGAAGAAAAGGATGAACCCTGATGAGATGGCTAGACGATGTTGAGAACGACCTGAAGAAGATTAAGGCGAAAGGATGGATAGAGATAAGGAATAGAGAGCAGTGGAGAATGCTTGTAGAGTAGGCCAAGGCTCATCCAGGACTGTAGCACCGAGTTTGTACATAGGTAGGTATATTGTAATGTGATTTAGTGAATATAGAGAGGGTTTGGATTGGTAATTGGATTTATTGAACTATTACACATCAGTGACCACAAGTAATTATAACTGTTTCACTAATTCACACATTATAGCTCACTAGAGCACGCACTTTTGAAGTCTTCTCAGTTTGCTGTGTCATCACCAGTCTTCCGGTAAGGGCTTTGGATGGTGGACGTTCCCTTTCCTCTGGGTTCCTGACCAGTTCCCCAGCCTCAGCTACCAACTTCTAACAGCAACAGCTCACAATTGCCGCACCTTAGCAGTTCTCTAGCTAGCGCATCCACCAACCAATTCACTCCACTTCACTAACTGAATGCCTAACTCCTCACTAACTGTCCTGTTTATAACACCTCAACACTGGCTGCACAGAAATCACCATTCCTGGGTTCTTGTTTACTGGTCATTACTTAGTAATAGAGGGGTTGGAGTATGAGTCCTGGTAGGGTAAAAAACTTTCTCTTCTCCACGCCATCCAGACCAATTCTGGGGCCCACACTGCTCCTTATCCTGTGAGTATTGAGGGCAATTCCACAGGGGAAAAGCAGCCAGGGCATGAAGCTGACTACTCATGTCTAACTAGTGGCAAGGTCAAGAAAACATGGATCTATACATCCACTCCCCCATACATCTTCATGGCATAATGCTTAATTAGTTAAGCACAGATACAACTTTACCTTTTGTGTGGTATTTTAAATGTTTCTAGACAGCAGCTGGAAAGATAAAACATTCAGAACTGAATGGTATATCTCAATTAATATGTGCTGCCACAAATTTGTGTGGAGGAGAAGTGAATGAGAAACAGGAGGGCAAGTGAGTGAGACTGTTACGTGTCATTCAAATGCAGAAGAGGGCTTCTCCAGCGCCATCACCTCTAATCAAAATATGACACACTACAGAGCAGTATGAAGTGAAATGATGGTAGAATTAGAACACCACTGCCACCATCTAACTGAAACCCAGGAACTGAAACACAAGGACCTTCTGCCATACAACTGATTACTGATTAAACCATACAATTAACTGCAGTATGGAAGAGTGGTCTGTAACAAGCTAAACTTCCTACTATAAATGTACCCAGGAGCTGGGATAGTGTAGTTGGTACAAAGTTGAAATGTTTGAGCTGATAAAAGGTTGCAGGCTGGACAAAAATCTTGGTCAATTTAATTCTAAAAAGGTTGTCACTGTTGAGTAATGCACTGAAAAGTGTTTCCGGTCACTTGATGTATCTTACTTGGACCGAGTAAGATATATGGTTGTGTTAAGTGTGTTCAAGTTGGCAGAATTAACTGTTGCAGAAAAAGATAAGTTGATGGAAATAAGAAATGAAAGAAGACTCAAACTGAAGCACTCATCAACAGATATAGCCGGATCCTAGTTGTCTCTCAGATAGGAGTACCCCATCATCACAAAGAAGGCAAATGAAGCTCATCTTCCTTTCTCTGTATCATATCTGTGTGAGGCTGGCTTCCCTGCTATGAATACAATGAAGAGCTTGAACAGGTTGCAGCTTCAAACACTGGAGGGGGAGGACTTGATGGTATGCTTGTCAACCATCCAACCTCGATCAAGGGACATCAATGGACATCACCAAGCATGGGATTATCACTGATATTTTTATGCTTATGTTCAAGACTTTTTATTTCTACTCATGCTTGTATTTAAAAAATCTTTCCTTACCCTCTTTATACTAATTGTAAATACAAAACATTTATATAGCATTAAAATTTTTCATCACAGAGCAGACTATTTTATTCAAAACCTGATTTTTCATTATTTCATCAAGAAAGAAAAGAGGGCGTGTGACAGAGAGAGAGAGAGAAAGAGAGAGAGAGAGGGGACATTTTTTTTGGAGGCCAATGGAATATGTCATAGGATTTTTTTTTTCATTTCAATATTTGGAATAATAAGAAATATGAACTTTACTTTTAACAATAAATCTTTTTTGAAATCCATGATCAACATTATTTTTAAAAATAACACGATGATTAGAATTGTAGCTATTCCACTTTTAAACACAATCTTAATACTCATTTTATATGATAAAATCTCTCTTTAAAGAAGCTCATGGTATGCCTTGATCAGTGTGCTGTGAGTTGAAAAAGGTTGAACATCTCTGGTTTACACGTATAATTAGAGAACTGGGAAGGAGGATTCAAATCACATCTCAAATCTACTGAAAAATCTTTATGGTATGCAAGCTGTTGTGAGTTACCATATATGGTATTCTTAACGTATCAGTCAACATCAGTCTATAATAAACAAAGCAATACTACTGTATTCCTCTTGATTTATTATAGAATTGTTGACTGATATATTAAGATTACCATCTACTAAAACACTCTTGACACTGCTTTGCCATACATATTGGCAAGAGTATAAAATCAATTTCATAATACCTCTGGGTTAGTCTGCAGCAGGAAACACAAAATTACAATGACACAGTTGCTTTCCTAGATGTACAGCCTTCGTCTTGCATGACATGGCAGAATAATTAAGCCAAAGGCCTCCCACTTTTTGGGTTTAAGAATCCTATTTCCACATATCTGGTAGGACTCCTCAGACAGAGCATCAGCTGGTTATAACCTCTACCTATGGACACACTCCCATGGTCTCTGAATGCAAGGAAAACAAAAAGCACCTCAAATGCCACAGCCCATATATATATATATATATATATATATTCACACATTGACCCCTACCTCCCCAGCTGCACGTAGCGGTAACGTAACACTAGAGTAATAGGCAAGTAATCACCCCGTATCCTGGTAGCTATGCAACGCGCGGTGATGTCACGAGCGGAGCCGACGTTAGCCGAGTCCCCGCGACCTTGAAGATATGCAAAGCGAATCAACAGCGGTGACGTCACCGAGGGATATCGCGGTTGCTAGGCAGCAGTCAACAACTCCGGACAGCGTGGCTAGCAACACGGCACCAGACAACAATTGTCCGATCAAGGCTACATAAGGAGCAGCGAAGTCTATTCACAGTCAGTTGTACTGTGGCTGTCGCCGAGTGCGTTATCAACGACTTCTCAGTTCGCAAGTTACGAGCTACAGCCGCGTGTGCGATAACCAGTGATAACCAGTGATATCTGAAGTGTGTAATTCAGGGAGACTTGTATAGCTCCCGCGTCTTTAATACGTGAAGACTCTTGAAGATAGTGTTAAGAGATTTTGTTGTCGGGTTTGTAAAGTGTGGAAACCCGTAATATTGTGATAATTAATTGTAGCCGTTATTTGTCGATTGTTAAATAAACCAATTAACCATCTCTACGGCGTCTTCAGTAACCAGAAACACGTTACAATATATATATAAGAAGTCAAAATTACAGAAGGAATAACACTCATATTAAGAAATTAGGCTTCACTCATGTAATTTAAAAAGAGCAAAAGTGGAGATGATTGGGAATGATAATTTTAATGCTGCCAAAAACTGTATGGCAATTCTTATACATTGCTTTAACAGCTTGGATTATCATACAAACCAGTAACATTATGGAGTAAATTTTGTATAAAAATTGTCTCCCTCCTCTCCTTGGAAAATCCCCGTACCTTTTGAAGCGATTTTCTCCTTATATTGCTTTATTTTCAATTTTTACATTTAATACATGCATGAACGTATAGTGACCGGCTACAGGCTGGACGACTGAGGGGTCAAAGTTCGAGTATTGGTAGGGTCAAGAATTTTCTCTTCTCCAAATCGTCCAGACCAGCTCTGTGGTCCAATGGGTACTAGAGGATCTTTCCCTGGAGGCAAAGCGGCCAGAACATGATGCTGACCACTCACTTCCAACGTGCCAAGGTCAAGAAAATGTGGACCTGTACATCCACTCCCTAATACTTCTTCATGGGGTAGTGCTTAATTTGTTGAGCATAGGGACAACTTTACCTTTATACTCGTACATGAGTGAAAAGTTCTGTCTTCTGGGATATAACTCTGTGGTATTGTCGATTTCAGGGTCGAAGAATAAGTCTGGTAAGAAATCAGTGCGAAAGGGGTGGTCTATATCCCAGAGATTAGACTTCTTTGTAATAACTGCTGCAAGAACCTCAAATCCTATTTAATATGTGTAAGTTTATTTTTTGTTTTAAAATTGAATGTGTATATTGTATTAAGAGTGATCCAACCTACTTTAACTAATATGTTTTCAAATTTACACTAGCATCATAGTTTTATATGAATTGCATCATCATTAGCATATTTCACACATATCACTTGATGGCCTATCTGGGCCAGAACATGTTGTGAGTGGAATAATAAAACCATTTGTAAGATTTGAGGCTTTCACAGCGGTGACTATGAAGAAAGCAGTCTTCTGGGAATTGGCACGGTGCATATGTGGTGTTAACCGACGTTTCGGAGGAATGTATCGCCTCCATCTTCAGGGTAGAAGAAAAAATATAAGAGGCAAGCGAAGAGGCTTTCTTAATAAAACCATTTGTTGACATGATGGTAACTCCTCTGTTTTTATTCATTGGCACCTCAAACAGGATGTAACTAATACTATAGGGCTATAAACTTCATGTAGCTTATTGTGTTCCAAATTTGGTATGTAGTAGGAAATAAGAAACTGACCTTCTTATGTACGAGGGAGAGTCAGTAAATAGGTCACAAATGGAAGTAAAACAGCTGTAATGGACGTAATAGGATTTCTGTGCGTATCACTAGGTAGCAGCACAGTCCAGCTTTATGACATTGTAGGTAGCAGATGTGCATGTGCATGTTCAGAGGCTGGTTTCAGTAGTCACAATGATGACCGTGCATGAAGAGTGTAATACCAAAGAGCAGCCTTCTGTTGTGAGATACTTTTTGTGGGCAAAATAACTCAATGCAAAGGATATACATAAATAAATGTTTCCTGTTTACAGTGGGAAGTTTTCGTCACATAAAGAGGCTCACAATTGGGTCAAGAAATCATCTCAAGGACATCTGAACGTAGTGGACGATGTCCGACCAGGTGCAGAAATGGCTGAAGCAACAGTCAAAAGACTTGCATGCTGTAGGTTAAGACGCACTGGTAAAGCAACGGAAGTGTTAGTGGAGGATATGTCAAGAAATAAATGTTTTTTCCAGGTTTGAATATCACATGTTTTATGTTTTATATCCATTTGTGACATATTTACTGACCCTCCCTTATATATTACATATAATAATGTGGATGTTAGGTTATGCAATCTTACACAAACACTACATAGACACAATCATGGGAGTGAACAGCTGAATACAAAAAAGGCAGAACAAACCAGCACACTACACCACTAGGCTCAAATGTGTAAAAAAGGCGTAACTGCATCCTTTTCATCCGGTCTCTCCTTCTATGTGGTCCTTGCCATGACATCCACCTCATAACAATGGCAGACTGAAAGAGGGAGTGGAAAATCTCTCCGCGTCACCAATATGAGATGCTGTCAACTGCTCAGAAATAACCAAAACCGAGGATGAACAGATTTTTGCTATAATGAACTCTACACTGTGCCACACACAAAGAACATGGCATCAACACACTAAGCTCTCTCAAGTGTCCACCTGCAATAACATCGAGCAGAAAAGTTACATGCCTGGATTTCTCTGAACACTGAACCTGAACTGAAATTTATTATTTGAAGTTTATCTACTGACACCATCAGTAACTAAGACCAATGAATGAATGTATAAGGCGTGGGCTTTCTCGGCCCTTGCACCATGACCACACTGATCTATTGTGCCTTCCCTTCCCATTATCTCCTCAATAGTCCTGCGCTTTGAATGAAGCGTAGGATTTTGTACGTGGGGACGTCAAAATAGTCATTTGGTTCCATAAAATATTGACCCAAGTAACGCAATCTTAAATAAGCTAAGGCCTCACATTTGCACAGGATATGTGTGGCTGTTTCATTTTCTATCTGACACCTCTAACAAGTAGGACTATCACTTAGTCCCAGTTTGAACAGGTGTCCTTTGAGATGACAAGTGTCCTGTAAGTAGTCCCACCACCCATCGTAGCTGGTTCCTGTTAACTTCAACAGTTCCTTCGCTCGTTTAGTAGAGGGTCCTCGTATGAGTCCCTTTGCTTGCCTGAGTCCAGTCAAGGATCCCCAGTATTTCTTGTGCTTCCTGTTCGTCCAGTCCCTGTTTACCTGTCTGGCAACTCCTATAGAGATGCCACAGGCTGGTTCAGGTCCTATTAAAGGATGTTCAGCTCCAATCTTGGCCAATTGGTCTGCTATTTCGTTTCAAGCAATACCCTCATGTCCCGGCACCCTTATCAGTTGTACCCTGTTATGTTTGGCCAGTTCCATAAGAGTTTGGTGGCAATCCCAGACAAATTTTGAGTTGATCTGGTGTTTGTCAAGCGCTTTAAGTGCAGCCTGGCTGTCAGATAGAATGTAGATGTTCCTATTTCTGTAGTTAACTAAGACTATATAATGTTATTGATATTGATGACAGGACACAGTCCTTCCCTTAAATATTGATTTCATCCCCGGTTGATTGGCTGAAGCAGTTTTAGTGCACTGGTCACTGTGAAAGCTTCAAGACTTATAGCAATTCAATAATATTATTATTATCACATTTTACAAGACCTAATCTGATCCATCAGAACTTTTGAAGTGACTTTCTTGTATTTACTCTTCAATGACCTAGGTCTAATATACAGCTTTGGCTCTATGGATACACATTTGTATGTATTTGCAACTAAAATGTGTGCTGAAATGATGAAACAGATTCAGTGCATAATATGGCTAAATTCTGATATCAGAAATTTTAATTTAGTTAAATTTTAATTTCAATTTAATAGTATAAATAATATTTCACGTACTGTACATGAGGTACAAAAATGGACATTTCTTATTTGGTGCTCATCGTAATCTTCCATTTCATCACATTACTCTTGAAATCAAGACTTCAAACGTTGGGCCACCAGGAGCAAGCATAAAGTGGCAAAGATGAACACGCTCCCTGGCACTGACGATAGAATATATTGCTGCTTATCTGAAAATAAAATATAAGCAAAGTATTTTAGTCCACAATTCATGATCATCTCCCTGACAGGGATAATTTATAAATGTATAGATACATTTTTGATAGCATACTATCATCTGGGAAGTGAAATTTTACAGCGTTGAAGAGCACACCAAGCAAGTAGGCAGTAGGTAGAGTGCCTGTTGCTTCCTTGGCCTACCATTACAGGTTATTTTCTTCACAGTGTCCAGACCAGCTCTGGTTTCCATAACATTTTTCCTTCCCACATAACCTACTTTTAACTTGCCTGGAATGGCACTTAAACCTGTTCACTGACATTATTAATGCACACCATGTCCCAGCCAACAGCATGTCTTTTCTTATATGAATATATAACTTCTGTGCTGACATGAAAACTGCGAGTCAGGTTTTGAGCAAGGCAATGGCCCACATGGTGTGCTTAACCAATCTGATAAGCCAACCCAGACTGAATATTTTTCCCATCTGAATCCCCCTTATCAGCAGTGAGGTTAGCAACTCACAGAGAAGAACAATATGATGTGACAGATTCTTCATGGGTTTACTTCACAGATGGCACTAGTGGTAAGCACAAAATAGTTTCACAAATTCTCCAGTTAATACTATATATTGGTTTTCATGGACTTGGTTTGTTGCATACAAATTTTCACCTCCCTTTCTATCTTAGTTTGAGGTCTGTGCATGCTTTATCACAAATTTGATTATGTTGTATTTTAGTGTCCTGTTGCACTGATTCATATTCATAATGTGTATGTATTAACAGTCTTCAAGTGCATACAATCCCATCTACCACTTCTACACTACATGTTTCGGCAGTATGCTGCCATCTTCAGGTGTATCGATCTGTCAATTATTTCACTGCTTGCCTTTATATGTCCATTTACAAATAATATTAAATTTCTATATGTCCTTACATAATAATAAAGTTTATGTATTTGAAACTTGTTAAAACTTATTATCTCATATGTCATATTTTAAATTTGTGTGTATTATTGATCATTCACATGGGAGTCGTTCTACTTATGTTTCTAATGTTGTGTGTATATTATGTCTTATGATGTGTTCTACTCTTGTGGCTGCATGCGTTGTATTGTCGGATGTAAAACATGTAGTGTAAAAGTGATAAATGGGATTGTATGCACTTGAAGACTGTTAATACATACACAATATGAATACAAATTTAATTGTTAAGTTTTCCTCTTATCTCCCACTGACAAAGCCTGGTCTCAGGTATTAGATATGTGTAGTTATATTGACATGGATTGTCCAGCAATTGAGGTCAGCTCTAAGGGACCCAACAGAGTAGATGACTCCTCCCCCCACCTGAGGATGGAAACAGATCCAGTTTTTGAAACGTTGTGTTCTCTAGTTTTTAGAATATCATACGATGGACATAGTCCTGTGGGAGCTACCCACATTGAATCAAGCACTAGCCAATCAGTGTGGACCATGGCAGCTACAATGCCCATTGGTTTGCAGGCTGTTAACAACAACACATAAAGATGCAGATCTCTGACACACCGCGCGTGAATCACAGTCTAGGAACCATTCACTGCTATGCAGTGGAGGAATTTCCATTGTCTGAAGTGCTTGATTCAATGATTCTCAGTGTTTTACACAATCACCAGAACCGTTTAGGATCTACTAGCTATCATTTAGTTGGTACACATGTTTTAATGTTTACTATTCATACCTTCTTCGTGCAGTTCTGTATTTTCCTCATCATCCACCCAACCGAGACTTCTTTCAATGGCCATCCTCCACCGGGAATACTTCATGTCCCGCTCTTGACAACAGCAAATAAGAAACATGACGCACAGTGAGATGTCTGAACATGGGATGCATCACTATACCAAGTGATTCACTTGGGCGAGACACAGAACTGAGAATTATAAATCACACAGTAACTTACTGACGAAGACAAAACTTGAAAAGTAGTTGCGGAGAAAACAGTGTACAGAAGATGCTAAAATTGGTAACCTCCCATCTGGAAACAGTCCACCATGATGCTCCATGTCTGTATAAATTACTCCACGCAATACGCGGAATAAGCCTGAACAAAATGGTGTGAAACAGGCAAGCAGCCACCAGGTCAGTGCCACAAAGTATGGTATTGACAAGTTCTATTTTCATCAATAAATTAATATGTGATTTATAATTATTAGTTTGGGTCCTCTTCTGAGTGAATCACCTGTACTTTAATTCCAGTGCAGAGGCCACAAACAATTTAAGCTCAGAAGCACAAGCTGGCCAAATTAAACCAGTACAACTGTTTCTAAAATGCACCTTCCTACACTGCAAATAATGTTTCAGCTTAACTTAAAATGTTATCTTACATATTACAGTTCAAATATATGATCTTTTCTCTTTTTGACTGGGCACCTTAGCAGAGGAAGTTTCAAATCCTTGACAAGCTCTGCCAAGGGGCCCAAATTCTTCAACTGTATTACAAAAAACAGCACCAGAGACAAAATGTGGTCTGAAGGCAGAGGGAAAATGTCCAGAAGTCTCCAATCTCCTTTTCCTGCCTACTACTTTTTCTTTTTGTGTTCCTGTCAGCCCTTTCCTCTCTCCTCAATGTCTTCCAACACTGGGCTACATCACCCTTCCATGGGTCACCACATAGGTCTCCTGCTTCTAAACTTTAAATCCCATGCCATTCTCAGCAACCCCATTCTATCTATTCTTTTTACATGACCAAACCATTGTAATCATTATGAAGTCATGAAAATGACTGTCTTCCAAGATGAAGCCATTCACTCTGATATACCATCACAAATATTTTGGAGGAACCTGCTGCCTCCATCTTCAGGGTAGAAAAGTGAACCAAGTGTGGGAAAAAGTGGTACTGATATATGGACAGGAAGAACCAAACAAAGGGATTACATCATGTATATAGCACCACGATGAGACCCTCAAACTTCAAAGTTGGATGTAGTGAGACCATACGAAGTTAGATGGGGCAACTGTTTACAAGCAAATGATTATACAGAGCAATTCCATAGCCGCCCCAAGGAGGAAACATTAAAATGTGTTTAAGAAAAAACACTGCCCACGAATAGTGAGAGAGATAGATGCATGGCATATACAGTGCTAGGATCAAGTTAATATGTCACAACAGCAATACAGACCAAATGACAATGGAAGGCCTAGCACAACAAACATTGTTAACACCATACTTAATTTCATTTTAACCCTGAAATGATTTTAACAAAAAGTGGGAACAACCATTTAAGAATAATACCAAGAATAATGGTGTTTTAATAGGTTTTAATAGCATAATATTTTATATCTTCAATATTTTATTGATTTTAAGACTCTTAATAAATTTAAATGTTTGTTTACACATGATTTTAAGTTCAGTGTAAGAACGCCACAACATAACTGTGCATATAAAGATGATTAGAGAAGTGACCGAAGTCCATTATATATATTTTTTTCATTTCATTGTATTGTGTAACACACCAGATAAGAGTAATATATATATATATATATAATTTGCAATTCAATGGTAATAAGACTGGTTAATTGTACTGCCTGAGGTTGGCGCTATGAACCGAAACACATGGTGACACGGTATTCCAGACCAATGAAACTCTATTGTACAGAACAGAGTGTGAGTGAGTCATTTGTTGAATTGTTGTGTTTGACAGGAATTAATACAATAATTTATATATAGTATATCACAAAACAGGATGCATTCCTTAGAGATTAAATATTAATTACATACCTTAAAGATAAGCATTGTGTAGCCTGCTTATAGACAATCATAAACAGCCTGCGAGATATGGCACCCAGAAAGTACAATGAAAAAAGTATACAAATATCAGGGTTATGAATAAAGAGTTTATCAGCTGCAATCAGAACTGCATCTGGCCAGTCACTAACGGTTTACAGAAGACACTGAAATGGTCTACCATTACAGTCAATGCATATCTAAGCCCTGTTGTGCCACAAATTCCTGGTACACTGGAAAATGTCAAGCATAGCGCATATCGTTGTCCCAGCCATTTGACTGGCATAGCTCATACCACATGTTACATCAGTGGCAGTAAGCAACAGCCTTCAGAAGGCCCCACAAGAAGTAGGCAGGGGGGAGACTGGGTGATTGTGGAGGCCACACAACTGGTCCATGTGAGCATGGAACATCACAACAACAGAACATCAACAGTAGTGACCTCATATGAATTTGTAAACAGAATGATGGGTTTATCTGTTTTGTGGTGTCGCCTCATAGTTGCCATACCTTACTAATAAAGCAGTTGCAACCATACACTTATATGACTATTTCTGGTTGCCTGTAAGTGTAGAACACAATGCTTCTATTTAATGTAATTAAGTAACACTCACCTTGTATATTCTTACAGAGACCAATGTGAGGTATAGTTCACAGCAGGGCAAAGTGACACAATACAGAACATCATGGCAGACACATACAAATATTATGTTTTCAGACAATATCCATTGTCCTGTCTTTATCTAAAAACCATCCTGTTTATTTTTTAAAACACAACGTTTTGGAGACTGGATTCTGTCTCCACCTTCAGGTAAAACCCACTCAGTTGGGCCCAACCAATAGAGTTAGTCCCTATCCCAGAGATAGGGGCTAGATCTATTGACTGTGATATAAAGAGGATGGTTTTTAGATAAAGACAAGATGATGGATAAAGTCCAAAATCTTAATATTTGTTTTCCTGGAATATCATTATAAAGCCTTCCCACCAACCACACAGAAAATAGTCTCTCTATTGTTGGAACACATTTACTGAGCAATCACATACTAACGGTCATGGTGCCGACCGCATAAAAAAGCCACACTTCCATTCTTGCCTTGCGTGTATTCAGTCACGAGGTGTTTAACAGTCAGTTACCTAGCAACACTGTGACCATCCACGTTACAGTGCTCCCTCCTTAAGGGTGTTCACCCTGAATAGACTAACAGTGCATCACCAGTCCTTTTCTTCCGAGGTCTGCGCTTGCAATGTCTTCTTTTTCTGTGGCTTGGTCATCTCTTGAGGTGACTATTCTCCAGCTGCTATATCCGCTCCTGAGCGATAGTATAGCAATGGTCATGGCACCAACCGCATAGAAAACACTGCACTCCCACTGTTGAGTCGTGTGTATTCGGTCGCGAGATGTTTAAAAGTCAGTTACCTACCAACGCTGTCTCCATCCACATTACAATACTTCTACTACCCCTGCACCACCTGTTTACAAGCTCTGTTAATTGCGCTCGCCACATCAAATGTGGATCTTTGACTCTGCACTAAGCTCAGAAAGCAAGGCTTCATGGATTAAACATCACTTGGAACTCACTCTCTTTGTGTGTACATGAAACAGATCAGCAGTTATGAGGACAGACTATGAAGAGTACTGTTTCTGGGATGCTAGGCCACACAAGAAAGAAATCAGTAAGATTTTCCTTGTTCCATACTTGGAGGCAGCACATTCTTCTGAAACATCTGTGAACTCTATCAAACTACCATTCATACCATCATCTGTAAACTCTACCAAACTACACTGCATAACATCATCTGTGAACTCTACCAAACTACACTGCATAACATTTCGGCAGACAGAACTTCTCATAGTCACTGTCATGGCAACTTGAGACGTTGTTGGTGATTGCTACATTATCCTACACATTAAAAATATTTCATAAGCAATGTAGTAAGATTCATCATGTATGAACTTACCATCTTCCGAGATTGCCGGTCGGAATGTATCATTTCCAACAGCTTGAAGATTGGTCAAATCCCAAACTTCAATTCCATCTGCACTTCCAGCAGCCATTGCAGCCCCAAGTGCAGTGGTTTCTGTCATCAGTGGCCGAACTGTACAAAGCAAAGCACTCTATGCTGATACAAAGATACTCTTAGACTGCTACAGACTTTCAATGAAAGTTGAAATCATCATATAACGTAACATAAAATCATACCACTATAAAAATCAGTAATTATTCCATGGAGTAGAGAAGCTAACAGTTGCTCAGTAATCAAGTCTTCTCCATTCTTCATGAAACCTGAAGGTTCATTACTGTTTTCACAGGAGCCTGCCAACTAACTCCATGGACCAGAGTCTTTCTTCAGAGGCTAACAGTTGCTAAGCTTGTCAAGATTTCCTCCTTTATGAAACCTGATGATTCATTACTAAGTTTATATGAAGCCACCACTGAACCTGAACCAAATGAGTTTAGTTAACACCTCCCTATTTCTGTAATATACAGAATGTCCCAGGTGGAAAGGTCAGTATTCTGGGAGGCCATAGTATCGGTCATTCTAAGCAAAAAGCGTATATGTACACACATTATATTCTGAACAGTTTCTGAGATAGAGTTATTTCACTGTACAGTTCAAAAACTGTTGATAAGAAAGAGATATTGTGTACTGTTTATAATACCGGTATTTACTGTTCAAGTGACAAGGTTGGTATGGTTAACCTAATATAATACATTTTTTAAAATTGCACCGGCAACATGAATGCTCTTTGTAACTCATGCGAGGACATGGCATGTTGCTCGCCTGTACAGAGTACAGTGTACTGTACAGTGAAATAGCTCTATCTCGGAAACTGTTCAGAATAGGACACATGAACGAATAAAATTTTTCTTAGAATGTCCGATGCTATGACCTCCTAGAATATTGATCTCTCCTCCTCAGACACCCTGTATATTCTTATCCAATCCTCTAATCTATACCTAGTAAAAGTAAAGAAAAATAGTAAAGCTATCCCTGTAACAGGCCATGAAAGCCCATAGGGTTGTGAGATGTTGAGGGTCACACATTATCTAGACAATCGGCTCAAAGATGGTGGTAAGGTTGTCAGCCTTACGCGCCGGCAACCATGTACCCCAAGAAGATTCCTGGTACTCATTTCCGTTAGAGGCTGAGTCGACCCCAGGGCCATAGTGCGGCTGGAAGGATTAGATCAACTGAAAAAGATCCAATGACCTCATTGGGACTTGAACCTGCAACCTTCCGGTTTGTAGCATAGTGCCTCAACCATCTACACTACCGCGTGCCCCCAATCTATACCTAGACCTTTCGCAAACCCGTTCACCTTAATACAGGTCTGTCATCCAGAAGAAAAAAATATATTTTAAAAACAAAACATTTAAGATGAGGTGATGTATGCAGTAGGTGATATCGGACACTCACTTGGAGTATCCTGAGTTTTAATCCATGTGTGGTCTTTCCCTGCTCACACTCTGAAACTTTCAAAAACATGGGAAATGAGAGGAATGCCAGGCTCTCATCCTCCACTGTTAGAAGTACACACTGGAGGTCCCCTCTGATGACCATAAGCCTATCACTGGAGGTTACAGAATCTGCCCTCCTCAGAAATTGATTCCGCATCCTTTCCCAGGTAAGCACATGATAGAAAGGTCAACAAGGATCATATGTGGAGGCACAGAGCAAACAACATCTCGGAAAGTGACGCCCCACATTCTATTTGTGGAATACAAAAACCTGTACACCAGAATATGGAACATAACTGACATGCACTGAGCACAATATTCCACACTTCTAATCTGGGGGTTCTCCATTTGAATCTAGGCAGGGACACTTACTAGCCTGAGGAGTTCATGGTTTTCATCAGTCCAACCAAGCAAAATACAGATAGTACTATGATTAGGAGATAATACTCCCTTCCAAACCCTTGCCATTCATCATTCATCAGTATTTCTATTGGGTTATTTAACAATGCTGTCAGTATCTGAGCTGTATACGGTAAAGCCTTTATATAAAGGAACCACACAGGCCACACATTTTGTTCTGTTTTATATAGTTACCCGAAATTAAAGCAAAATTCTGTTTATGAATACATTACTTCATATGTTTCCCCATCGACGTACAAAAGTGGCATTGTTTTCACCACAATATATACACTGTTTACCATTCGCAGCAGACCGGCAAGGTTCTTTCCACATACGCTGTTGACCGAGAGGCTCAGCTTTCAATTAAATTTTAGCCTTGCAAATTGTATCAAAATGTTCAGAATTACTGTGACGTAAAATTTCTGAAGTGGTCTGGTGCTATTTAGAGCACTGTGGTATGTCGTATGTCTGCACTCAAGTTCTTGGAGAAGTTCCATATTCTTCATTTTCTTCCTTCCCATCAGCTTGATCTTCCTTACCCTGCAGGCAATTCTCAATTATCTCATCAATTTCCTTCCCATCAGCTTCCTCTACTTACCCTGCTGGCATTTCTCAATGATCTCATCAATTGCCTTCCCATCAGCTTCCTCTACTTACCCTACTGGCATTTCTCAATGATCTCATCAATTTCCTTCCCATCAGCTTCCTCTCCTTACCCTGCCGGCATTTCTAAATGATCTCATCAATTTCCTTCCCATCAGCTCCCTCTTCCTTACCTTGGTGGTGTTTCTCAATGAACCTGTCAATTTCCTTCCCATCAGCTTCCTCCTCCTTACCCTGCTGGCGATTCTCAATGAACTTATCAATTTCCTTCCTATCAGCTTCATCTTCTTTACCTTGGTGGCAATTCTCAATGAACTCAGTGATTTCCTTCACGTGAATGTTAAAGTAATTTTCTGCCCTAATACTTGATGAAATAACAAGTAAAATTTTAAAAGCTTGCACATCACTCATCAGTCGCCCATTAACTCACATTTGTAATCACCCACTCATGACTGGAATCTTCCCTAACTGTCTTAAGATTTCAATAGTAAGACCACTATACAAAAAAGGTGACAAATCTAGTATGTCAAACTATAGACCAATCTCACTATTAACTACTTTTTCTAAAGTACTTGAGAAATTTATGTACAATAGATTAAGCCATTATTTGCAGACTAATAATATACTGGTTCCAGAACAATTTGGCTTCAGGAAGGGAATATCAACTGAAAACGCAGCCTTTATGCTAACAGACAGTGTATTAAAATCTATTAACCAGAAAATGCATGTAGGTGGAATATTCTGTGATTTAGCTAAAGCTTTTGATTGTGTTAATCATGAAATTTTGTTAACTAAATAACAATTTTATGGTATTCAGGGAACAATGGCAGGTTGGTTCAGATCCTACCTTGTAAATAGAAAACAAAAGATTGAAAGAAATCACCTAGTGCAACCCAAAGTACTTATTCAAAATGGGGAACAATAGACCATGGAGTTCCTCAGGGGTCAATTTTAGGTCCTTTGCTTTTTATAATCTATATAAATGACCTTCCTCCAACAATAAATACCCGATCAATACCCATAATATTTGCTGATGACACTAGTGTAATAATTTCTGTATGTCATTCAACAGTGTTCTCTCTCATATGAGTAAATGGTTTGCTGCTAACAAACTGGCCCTGAATCTGGATTAAACAAATATAATAAAATTTATAACAAATAATATCCATTAAGCATTGGATATAATAATAAATATATAGAAGCGTCAGTACACACAAAATTCCTTGGCTTACAAATTGATAACCACTTAAACTGGAAATACCATATCGATCAGTTGGCTGTGAAGTTAAGTGGGGAATGTTATGCAGTAAGAGCTTTGTTACATGTCAGTTATACAGTGAAATCAGTTTATTTTGCTATTTTCACTCTATAATGAAGTATGAATAATATTTTGGGGTAACTCATCTGACAGCAAAAAGGTATTTACATATATAAGAAAACTGTTAAAATCATGGTGGGCATAAAACCTCAAAATTCTTGTAGAGAGTTATTTAAAAGATTACAGATCGTACCACTTCCATGTGAATATATATTTTCATTATTAAGCTTCATTATAAATAGCAAGAACATTTTCAGACCAATTCAGATGTACACAGTGTTAACACAAGAAACAAGCACCATCTACATAGACCTGTTGTTAACCTGACACGTTTTCAGAAAAGTGCATATTATTCTGGCATTAAAATTTTCAACAATCTACCATCTAGTCTCAAAAGTCTAATGAATGAAAAGGAGCAATTTAATTTAGCACTGAAACAATACTTACATACACACTCATTTTACTCTCTTGATGAATCCCTACTGTCTAAAAACGACATCTAAAAACATCATCAGTTGATTTGTCAGCTGAAAATTCCTCTGTGTTGTTTGCAGAGATATTTGCTTTTCTACGTCACCTATCCAGACTACATACAGTATCTTGAACTGAGATGGACTTGGCAAACTGGATGGCCGAAGATGTGGGCTTCCATGTTGACTAGCAGAGATCATACGAGCAGCTTACAGTAGTTGAGCTTCACACATTTCATAACTCCTTGGTCCATCAGCTGAGATACACTTGTAGTGTTGAGGAGGAACCATGTAAGCCAGGCATCTGATAGTTCAAAGCAAGAATGGCAAGTCGCATCGTACTAAAATAACATTACATTTCTGTTGTTTCATGTTTGCATTAGATGTTCTCAGCCATTCCTCCACAACATAAGATGTCATCTGGGTTTATCTGATGGATTTCTAGTTTATCTAAGTTGACAATCTTAACACACTGCAATTCAGCAGTGATCATGGAATCTGAGTTTGATTCCCAACATGGGCAGAGATTTGTCTCTTCTCCGCAGCATCTAGCCTCTTAATTTAATGAGTACCAGGGGGGGGGGGTATAAACTGGCTGGGGTATGAAGCAGACCACTCACCTTTATCAGGTGTTGAGGTTAAAACATGTGGAGCTATACCTCCATTCCATTACACAATTTTATTGTGTGCTGCTTCATTAAGTACAAGGACAGCTTTACCTTTTTACCTTTATAAACCCACTCTACATTTCAATAAGATGAAAATGGCATCTGCTGATCTCTGTAAAGAGCTGCAGAATTTATTAAAGTAAGATTTGCTAATTATAATTCCTTAACAGAATACCCAAAGCCCCTCAACTGGTCTGTCTTCAGACCTGCTCCCCCCTGTAATGGTGCCCACAGATACGAACCTACCGGAATACCACATAGGTCTGCCTGTAACTGCATCACATAATTGTTAACTGTCATTCCTCCATCTACAAGCAACTTTGTAAGAGGAATGCCACAGTCCTTGTTCATTGCATCCAGGATGTCTCTTGTCTGAAAGCACACAGCTTCCAAAGCTGCACGAACTATAGCTACACTTGTAGTGTCTTCTGTTATGCCGCAGATAACACTGAAATCAAGGACACAGGAATAACATATGTACTTGACACATGACACATAAGCACAAGTATACATGAACAGCACAAAAATTGTTCACACTTATTATAATTTACTCAGTTTTCTCTATTTATTTGTACCAAACAGGCTGAATTTGAATTTGGGACGTATGAGGTTTAACTCTTGGCCAGGACACTGGCTATCACAACAAGTTTATGGTTTTCCTCAGTCCCTCTTTCAATTATGCCATGATTGCTTCCTTTCAAATTCTTCCGAATTCATTATTCATCCACCACCCAATCGTTCAACTCATCCTTCACTAAGTTACTGCTAGGCTGGTAACCCCTCTTAACCTTTAACGGACGAATGTCACAAATGAATGACAGAGGCAGCAACCCGAGTTGGCCGAATGTCACTGATTTATGACACAGGACACGTGCACTCTTTGTCAGTGCTGACGGTTTTATGTTGGGTTTGAAACCAAAACAAACCCACGCAGGGTCATGTCAGAGGTTCATTCCTTAGCTCTGAACATAGAAATCGTTTATCACGGTACTGGCTTCGATAATATTTACGTTCATATATGAGTGTTCGTGGCCTGGGCTGCCAAATATAGCCCAGCTTTGTTCTGAGAACTGAAGGGGAAATATTCGTCAGAGCTTGCAGATCAGTGCTTCAAGAACTTTCAAGAAAGTGTGAAGTATTCAAGGAATCTTTTTCAGTGGTGAAATATCAGTTTGGAAGTCAGTGTTGGATTGTGTAATATTTCTTTTTCACGTAAAAAGGTGAGTGTCAGACTATCATATATTTGTAAGTTTTGAAGTTTTCACGGCGATGACTATGAAGAAAGTC